TAATGAGTCTATATATTATATTAGTTTCACCTTTTAAGTTGAATTACTGAAATAAATTAACTTTTGCATCATATTCTCATTTTTCCAGTTTCACCTGTATTTGGTCGCCATTTGATTCGGTAGTAGAACCAGTGGAGAACCGCTTACTTTATCATACATATTGACACAAATTAGTATATGTGTAAACATTATTTGACTCGGCTCTCAAACGCCCTTCATTAACACAATAATCGACTCTGCTTTTAACAGCCCATGACCTCGCCCAGAGAGGAAAACGTTTCAATGTAAAATTCAAAAATAGAAAAGATAAAAAACACAAAATGTTTCCCTATAAATCTCTAATTATAGATTCCTCTCTTGCCACTTTGAAGGAAGCTGTTAGTGGCTCTTCAGAGTGATAAAGGATTTCCCAATAAACTCCTCGCATCCAGTGGCTCGTACACACCACCGCTGCACCTCTCCTTTCAATTTCAGCCGTTCAGGGTGTGGGATTTCTGCTCCTCAAAGGGAAATAGGAAAGCTATTAGCCCAAATGGGGAAACCACATGCAAATCATTGGGAAGGCAAACCCTCAAACTGGGCTGAAGGCTCCACATGTGGCACCGCGCTCCACGCTTTATATCTTTGCGTGTTCAGTAAATTTAGTGAAGGCACACACCCATTTTGAACCTTGTTTTTTCACTCTGATGATCATGTAATGTTCATGTCCTTTACGTACGCAAATATGTCTCGAATGTTTCTCTTAAAAAAGTAAAGTTGACATCCAGAAAGAGAGCTATATATAAAATAGAAATTTTGGGCCGATAACCGATAATTCTTTATACTTGAAAGCCGATAACCGATATATCGGCGGATAAATCGAAATCCAAATTTGTGTATAATTTTTGAGAGCCTGATTTCAAAAACAAAAGTTTCACCATTAAAATCCACATCCCAAACACACAATGTTCTCATTATACATTATACGTTCTCATTATAGCGTCAGATTGAAAGTAGCACTTTATTTTCGCTGCGAGATAGGCCTATTTTAACTTTTGATTAATAAAATGTTCTCCTATAGCCTAAAAGTTTATATTCTACTTAAAGCTATATTCTATTTAAAATGTAGGCTACTTTTACATAATTACGTTTTGCTTTCGCTAAATGTCCCTTTGCGCCACCTGGTGGTCATTTCGCCACCGACTTTGAAATACGGCTGGTTCATTTTTGCCGCGGGGGCGGTAAACGACATTCTGGTTGTCCACCTACTGTAATTGTATGTAGCTGATATGACAGACTTAAGTGATTCCAATCATATTTCAAGCCATTCATAATCATCATGTTGAACAGTGCACATCTGAAGCTGTAGGAAATAATACATAGGCTTTAATATATCGGACAAATTTGACAACGATAACATTAAAAATGCATATAATGTCCGATAGCAATATGGTGGCAGAAATAGCAAGCATCTCTAAGTGTTTATTTTTAGATCTCATGCATTTGTGTGCATCATACATTATCACAGAAAATAAAACCTTACCAACTACATTTAAAATGCACAATTTGTGAAAATGCTGTTCACGTTGATTGCATGCTGATTCATCACGGTAAAAGAGAAATCAAGCCACATTGCAAGTCTACATTTCTTCTTCAGTCAATCGTTCTATTCTTCCAGTTGCATCACCGTTTTGAGTCACTCATGTCTTTGCATATGTTTCCATTCATTTGAGAAGTCATGAGATCAAATGAGCAGACGAGACTTGAGATAAATGCACGAATGGAAATTTATTTGGCCATCCCAACCATTTACAAATGCACATGCATTAGTGTTTGGAAAATGAATATGATTCTTACTTAAAGCTTCACCTTTCAGCACTCTCTCGACCCGTGCGCTGTATATCAGCTAAATCACTTGATATGCACATTTTTCTTTCCCATATTGAACTATTTCATCAGTGCCATCAATATTTCCCAGAAGAAACTAAAAGGTTTGTGTTATTCTGTAGTAATGAGCTTGTATTAAAAGCCACAAAAACACAGGTGAGTTTAAACTTTACAGTCTTATTTACAAACACCAAAGTATGACTGTGGATTAAGGTCCAAAAATGACTTAATCTAACATTTAAATCTGCCAATAAATCACTGTGTGGTCTTTACTGTAGTGTTTCTGACAGCAGCGTGATTCATCATGTCGGAATAACACTGCCCCCTATGGCACCAATCTAATTAGCCAGTGCAGTTCAATACTATGATTGCAGAAATTAGTGTGTGTGTGTGTGCAGGGTCAGTTGAGGAGCAGACTGCTAAATATAGTCTGTGTGTTACTGTAAGGGCCAAACTCTCACAAACTACAAGCTTGCTCTGACCATGCCTTGTAATTGAGGGAGAAAATAAAGAATGAAATTACATGTTTATTTTTGAAAACAATTTTAATCTTCTCTCCCCTCATTTTGGAAAAAAGCAACACCCACAAGGACACTCAAAACCAAGATGGGCTGTCGGAAGGCTGTTCCAACTGTTTATTCACTTGATGGATGTCTGTAAGCCAGAGAACAGACTCTTAACAGTGGACAACCTCTGTGTAGTGCATGTACATGCGTGTGCTCAGGGATTATAGGTGGAAAAAAGCGAAAAATTTCAGTTTAATTTGCTTAGACAGAGATGCCTATAAAGAAAGCAAACATAGGACTATTTAATATTAAGGCTGTCTTAAATAAAGCATCTTTGACGTTCAAAAAAATCCCCCAAAAAACTGAATTTCCAGAGGTTTCACAACACAAAACACATCATTTCTCCTTTTAAATTAAGAGTTTTTCTTCTTGATAATTTCTCAAATTGTGTCATAATTGTGTTTGCATGAAATCAGGGTGTAATGATCATCTGAGAGATTGTTTGAACCTTAACCTAAATTGACAGGGTAAGAGTAATTATACTTTCTACTGCGTCTCACTTATTCATGAACCCTTTATGCCAAAAAGGTTCTAAGGAGAAATTGTCTTAAGCGGGATTGCATAGCCTAATACTTTCATGTTTAATGTTTTTTTTTTTTAATGTTTATTTATAGTCATTAAATGTTTGATGTTTAATTAATTGAAAAATAAATAAATAAACAACTAAATGCATAAAATGAAAGATTTTGTATATGAAGTGTCTAATGGAACCTGTTAAGGTTCCAAATAGAACCTTTTCTTCTCAGAGTGATACATTACTGTCAAACTGTAAACTGTGATTCCCTTGATTTGATTGACATTCATTTTTTATCACACTTGAAATGTTTTAGCACCATTCCATAGCATTTTTAGCACAGATTAATGAATAAATAATTATATATGCTTAACTATATATATTATATATTTCTATTTTATGAAAATGCTTATAACTTTGCTGTCCTGAGTGTGACGTATGTGTAGCCTATAATAATAAATCTAAAAAAAATAAAAACAAAAAAAACAGTGTTTGTAAATATGCTATAAGCCTGTATGTGTGTGGGGGGGGGGATTCTTATTTGTCCTGCTGATGATTGGTTCAACTATAATTTAATGATTTTATCACATATTTTTTTTCATTTTAAATGGTTGGCTTGTGAAATCTTACATCCTCATATTCACATAGTTTTAGAACAATAATTTAAAAAACATTACCATTTTTGTGATGTAGTTGTCTTTTACTGAAAGAATTGTACTCTTCTCCTAGTTCAACATGTAAGATAATTTTCTTTACAGTAGCCTATGAGAATATGGAGACTCAAGCACACCACAACATTTGCATATGAAGTATATTAACAAGTGTTGCTCTTTTTCAAAACTTAAAAAGCTTTGCTAGCCTATAGCCTATATTTAAAAAGTACATTGCCAAAGCATATCAACTTTATACACACATACACAATATTGGCCTGGGCTACATTTAATGTGTGTGTATATATGATGGATTAAGGCAGGTTTTTTTTTACAGTGTTTTGGAAATGAACAGTTTTAAGCTATGTAAAACAACATGTAAAACCACTGATAAAAAAAGAACAATTTGTTGCTGAACTGTAGGCAACATAGTCCTTCTGCGAACTTAGCCTGTGTGTTATGTGAATGTGATGAATGAAAACAGAGGAGGCTAGGGCGGGCCTATATTTATACATTCAGCCTATGTAGCCTATCAATAATAATTTAAAGTAGGCTAGCCTATGTACTGAGAGCGAACGAGCTGCTGTTTACCTCTTTACGGTGAGCATATTAGCGCAATTTAACTTTTGACTTTTAACAATTTAAACTTTTAACCTTGTTTGAAAACTCTCTGAAAAGGCTACACACGTAGCCTACACTCTACACGAAATATTTCTATTTAGAACCAAAAATGGTTCCATCCCCCGCTTCATATATGGAACTCCAAAATGGTTCTATAGGCTATAGAACCATTTTTTTTTTGGTAAAAGGTTCTATTGGCCAAGTATGGAACCCCAGGGTTCTATATAGAACCCAGAAGAACCATTTTTTAAAGAGTAGAACCTTTTAGGGGTTCCAAATACGCAGCGCTGATAGAACCTTTTAATGTTCTATATAGAACCTTTTCTTCTACGAGTGTATAGCTATATAAAAACAATAGGCTACATAATTTTGATACCCCTAACTTTTTATTTCAATTCTTTTGGGAGGTATAAGCTACCGTATACGGACGGAAGCTTGTTTTCGACACGGAATTTAAAAAAAAAAAAAGTAAACGCGACTTTTTATCCCATCCTTCTGCCTTTTTTTCCCCTCAGAATTGCGAGTTTATATGTCGCATTCTTCTTTATAATTCGAAATTGCATGTTTATCTCATATAATTCTGAGAAAAATAAATAAATTCGAATAATTGCGAGTTTATATCTAATTAGGAGTGTTAAAGTTAAACCCCCCATAAATCGCAAGGCAAAGTGCGTTCTCTCTCTCTCTCTCTCTCTCTCTCTCTCTCTCTCCCTCTCTCTCTCTCTCTCTCTCTCTCTCTCTCTCTCTCTCTCTCTCTCTCTCTCGGAGGCGGGTCTCCCGGGATGCTCATAGGAGAGTCGCTGCGCTCGTACGGAGTTTATTTCAGTCAGATCTTCAGTTTTGAGCTTCTCTCTCTCCTGCTTTTGGACTGAACTTCACAGGACTGCTTTTCCTCCGGGATGGCCGCGTCGATTCTGGAGGTATGGGATACACAATCTGATCTGAGGCCTGCCTATGTTTGTTATCAGTTTGGTTTTAACATAGAAATCGGATTTCTACAACAATGTCAACTGAACTTAAACAAGCGCACAACAACAACAAGGTTGTTTGAATAGCACTTTATGGGTGTTTTGTTCAGATAAAGGTCTTCTGATTTAGGTTACTCACTTAAAAGTTATCATTAAGATATTAAAAGTAGAATTGAGCTGTAATCTCACAGTAAGTGTATAGAAAAACTGAAATTCAGTCCATGTTGTCAAGAAGAAGTGAATTCTATCCACTCATGTTGAATCATTGCAGGTTTGGCATTAACTGAAGAAACTTTTAAAGTTCAACAACTCAATCTGTAGCCTAGTTGTTATGGTGTTTTAAAGAACTCGCTGATCTGAATGACCCATAATGAACCCTATTATAATGAGCAAAAACAAACTTAAGAACCATTGAGGTATCTTTATTGTTTAGATGATCGTTTGTTATAAGAAGACAATCAAAATAAGCCAGCCTGTAACCTAGACAATGAAATATGAAAACTCTTAGACACAAAACTCTTGCGCATTGGTTTTGGGTGCAGGCATCAAATGTAAGCTCCACATGGTAATAGGGAGCAATTAACCTGGAAACGGGAGCAGAACTTGTGCCAAGATGAACCACAGACACTCAGCGGGAAATATCATTGCACACACACACACTGTGCCTTACTCATTAATTTATCATCACTTCCCAACGGAAAATGGGGTAGACCACTGCCATTCCAAATCAAGCCAAGTCCAACCGTAGTCTGTGACTTTAAAGTGACATTTCGACAAGTTAGGGTCGGGGTTATCCTAAAAATCCGATCAATTCTTTAATTTAACTCTAACTTTCATTCAATATTGAATTAAGTGTAAACATGGCTACCATGTGTTAAATACTTGCGGGATCATGTTTAGATCAGCTTGAACCTCTCTGATCTCTAAATCATTGACATTTATGTTGATTATTGCTTATTTTTCATTCTCACGAATTGTCTGTGATTGACAACATAATTAGAGTGTGTCGTAACTAAACAATTGTTTATTCTTCTTACCAAAATGCTATTGTTGAAAATCTTGCTTGTTTTTTCACAAACGCATGGTCACTATGGAGATGTAAACATGTCAAACAGGAACTCCATGTGTGGTGACATTAATTATCGTGTTTTCAGTGCTGGTGCATATTTCTGTCTAGACTAATAGCACAGGAAGGATGTTTTGCGCACTACTTCAATGCATTTAAAGCATAGTTTGAATTGCCTCGTTTCTGATCAGCGCTTTCGTTCTCTTCGCAGGAGGAAACACGTTATGGATCCAGTCCCTTGGCTATGCTAACCGCAACCTGCAATAAATTTGGGAGCACCAGTCCAGTCCGAGACTCTGCAACGCCTGGTAAAGCGGGAAGCGCAGCACCAATTAGGAAAGCCTACAGCATGACCTCTGAACTCCAGAGTCCAAAAAATGGACGCGGTAACGATGGCGTCGCGGACACTTACAGCGGCTCCTTCAGCTCCGCCGGCGGTTTGCTAACGCCAACCGGTAGCCCTCCTCCGGCTCCCACGGGAGCGTACGGCTCCGAATACAACCCGTTCTCCACTTTCCAGACCTCGAGTGCCTCTCAGGACCCTTCGCTCTTGGGGACCAAAGCTACAGCGGACTGCCTAGCAAGTGTCAACACTTACTTAGACATGACGCATCCTTATGGCTCATGGTACAAGAGCATCCATTCCGGGATCACGGGCTCTCCCGCGAACACCACTTCTTCTTGGTGGGACGTCCACACCAACTCAAACTGGCTTAGCGCTGGGCAACCTCAACCTGAAAGCCTCCAAGCGCAATTGCAGCCGGTGGCTCCGCAAGCATCCCTAAATCCACAGATGCAGAGCTACACTCCCGATTTTACGCCTCTCAATCCAGCGCAGTACTCGTCCGTGGGGTTGAGTTCGTCTTCACACTTGCTCCAGTCGCCGCAGCACATGATCCCGCAGGACATGTACAAACCCAAGCCTGTGTCCACATCTGGGATCCTTGACAATCCAATGGGGATCAAACCAACTCGAGGTTCGGGCGGATACACCGGCGGCTCCTCCACCGGCAGGTCTTCGTGCGATTGTCCGAATTGCCAGGAGCTTGAAAGGCTTGGAGCGTCCGCCGCATCCCTACGCAAGAAACCCGTTCACAGCTGCCACATTCCCGGTTGCGGAAAAGTCTACGGAAAAGCTTCGCATCTAAAAGCTCATCTTCGTTGGCACACGGGCGAGCGACCCTTCGTCTGCAACTGGTTGTTCTGCGGAAAACGCTTCACTCGCTCCGACGAACTCGAGCGCCACGTCCGCACGCACACTCGGGAAAAGAAGTTCACGTGTCTCCTGTGCAACAAGCGCTTTACTCGTAGCGACCACCTTAGCAAACACCAGAAGACGCACACCGAAACTAAAGGCCCGGAAGAGGAGGCCGAGACGAGAGGAACCGAGGAGCCGACGGATTCCGCTAAAGTGGATCCCGCCGCGGGGATGCAGGATGCTAGCGGCGGTGGAGAGGAAAAGAGCAACACAGGGAATGGTGTGGACAACAGTAGCGGGCTTCTGGAGATATAAACCGTAAGACTCTGACGAGCGGAGCTACTGGTGCCAAGCTGCGCAAAAAACACTACCAGACAAGTTTTGGGTCGGTAAGATTTTTAAGGTTTTTTAAAGAAGTCTCCAAGGCTGCATTTGTTGGATTAAAAATACTAAAAATTGTCAAATATTTTTACAATGTAAATCAGCTGTTTAGTAAAGTGTAATTTATTCCTGTGATTTTCAGCATCATTACTCCAGTCTTCAGTGTCACATGACCCTTCATGAGGATCTGATGATCAAGACACATTTAACTGTGTTGAAAACAGTTATTTATTTCAGGATTCTTTGATGATTCAAAAGAACAGCATTTATCTGAAATGGAAAGCTTTTGTTACATTAAACGCTACCGTTCAAAAGTTTTTGGGTCAGTACGAAATTGTATTTAATTGGGGGGGGGGGGGGGGGGGGGTCGATACTTTTATTCATCAAGGATTAATTAAATTGATCAAAAGTGACAGTTATAATGTAACAATGTAAAGAAATGCTGTTCTTTCTATTCATCAAAGAATCCTGAAAAAAAAAAAAATTGGACACATCTGTTCCAACACTGATCATAATAATGATGAATGTTTCTTGAGCATCAGATCATCATATTCTGAAGACTGGAGTAATGATGCTGGAAATTCAGCTTTGATCACAGGAATAAATTATTTTAAAATATATAAACTAGAAAACAGTAATTTAATATTGTAATAATATTTAACAATATTACTGTTTGTTTTTAATCAAATAACGCAGCCTTGGTGAGCAGAAGAGACTTCTTTTAAAAACATAAAAAATCCTACCGATCCAAAACGTTTGACTGGTCGTGTATAAAAATATATTTTAGCAACTGTTTTTTAGGAACTGGTTGAATGTGCTCCACGGAGAGCAATGTATCATGAACACATTCTCTAGACCGGCAGGTTTTGAAAGAAAAACTTTTACACAAGAACTTCAGAGACGTTTGTCTGGAGCGAGGAGTCTTTTTAAAGATCTTAATGATTGAATTCATTTGTTTTACCTTTCCTTCTTTTCGACAACTTTCAGAGGAGGCTGTTCAACAGATTGAGACATTCGGGCTTCCAATCGATGCACATTTCGTCCTTGTGATCGTTTTTTTATTTAATTAAAATTGATTTCTTTTTAATCCTGTGTCTTAAAACACTTTCTTAAGGACTCATTACCTTGATCTTCAGTTTAGGAGGCAATCTGGTGTACAGTGAACCGTAATTCTTCCATGTCATTATTGGTCCTGTCGCTTATCATTGTTTTAATTTAATTTCCTATTTACATCAAATCTAATTTATGTTTTAAGTTATGATTGTTGTGTTTCACTGGTTTTGCTGAATGGAGGGAAACCATGAAGCAAGTCATTTATGAATAAATTAAGTCTTCTCATTCATGTGATGGTTTTATTTATTTTTTATTTTGACAGATCAAGAAGTTCTTTTGATTTCTTCTAAATCTGAATCTTTTACCCAAAAAGAATTTAAATCTTAAGAAAGTCATTTATATATATATATATAGGAAACATCATCTTTTGAGATCAGTGGAATAGATTTCGATGAATTGATTATAGATATAAGTGACCACAAATCATTTAATTAAGCTTTGAGGGAACATCTGTGGGTTTTTATTATTATAATTTGTGTGAATTTCACAAAACATTTCAAGAACATCAGCGTAAAATCAAAAGAAAGAAAGGAATATTTTTCTAATCAAAATTAAGCAACATTTTTATAATTTAAGCACATTTTTGTAATACAAATATATATCTATATGTCGATATGATAAAGTCAGTGGTAAAGTATTTATACATCATGGTCTCATTTATATGTTAATTTACATTAAACATGTAAAAGTATTTTTACTGCAATACAAAATTTGTTCATTATCTCTGAGAATAATCAAATGAAAAACATCAAAAATCATTACAGTAATGATGAATTGGGGTTCAAAATGCAAAACATTTTTTGTATTTCTTTTATTTTAGTTTGAAATACGGCTTGTTTTTGTGAGATTCAGTGCATCTGTTTTTAATATACTAAAAAAGACATCTAACATATATATATACAGTATATACAGTACTGTTTGTGTAAAAATAATAATAATTGCAAGAAAACAACTTTATGTGCAGCCATGTCATGTTGTGAGGTTTGGCTTGAAAACGCACTAGTGTCACACCAGCATATTGAATCCAGAGACGCTGCATGTGGGACGCCATAAATCAAATGTATGAATGCTCAGAATAAGTTGACCACAAAGTGTGAGTAAAAGCTTCTTTCTCCAACAATGAAGTGTCATTGCTTTGAATGTTTGGCCTGTGAGTAATGCTTTGCAGAGGGGAAAGAAGATAAAAATGGATCTTTTCCTCATGTGCATGTATTCCTGGTTATATTAGTTTTTGTAACTTGCTCTGGGTTGCTTTGCTCCTATCCCTGCTCCGGCTCCTTCAGTTGTGCATCCTATGGCTCAACAAATGCTTTAATTAGTTTTTGCAGCACTAACAAAGCAGAGCTCTCAGTCAACACAAAGAGTCTCTCAGAAGTAAATTAAACTCCCCCGCTGTCTGCGAGAACCAATTACCCCTCATCTGCCCCACCACTGGACAATTACCCCCCATCTGCCCCACCACTGGACAATTACCCCCGCAGGACGGCCTAGGAGACTGACTGACCACTCGACTCACTCAAGACCTTACACACAGAGGGCTTTTATTTGTGCATTTATTTTACAGCACTTGAAATATCTCATTTTTATTATTTACAGATATATGCAATTCATTCAACTCTCCAATTGTTTTTTTTTTTTTAAATATATAAACTGGAAAAAAATATTTTCATGATTTGTAATCACAACAATTTTTTTTGTCAAATCAACTTAAATAATTTATGTTATGTTGAGTTTCTGATGATCTCCATTGTATTTACTCATTTTCTTTCCATTTCAATGAACTTAAAATTTTAAGACAACCAGGTTACTTCATTTTTTAAGTTAAACCAACAATATTTTAAATCTTGTATTTTTATGCAATTCATGATTAAATATGAAAATCTCCCATTGATATTGTCAGAATAGCATCAACATGTTGAATTAGACTTCTTTCTGTTTATTTATGTTTTAATAGTTTATTTTTAATGGGAGTCACTGGACTGACCACTTAGGGTAAAAAAACTCAAGGGTTTCAGGAGTTTTTTAATCTTTATATTTTATTATATTTTATTACAATATAATAATAAAAGTGAAACAACACTTAATTTCTCATTTTTATTCTATAAAATTTTCTGCAACATGTTTGGATATGGAGTTGCATTTAGACTTATTTTTTTTATTATTTTTTAATTAAAAAATATTAATTATTTATTTTATTACAGTACTCCTGAGGTAGAACTTGAAATTTCTCTCTCTTTTTTTACATCTTTACAAATTACTTCAATTAATTCACCTTGGCCATAAGTATCCCTATAATGTGTATTTATTTTTACCTTATATTTCTTGTTGAAGATTAAATTTGAAACATTTCTCGCTTACATTCTTAGAATGTTCTGCATTCGGAATCTCAAGCGACAGGATGGTGACAACATGTTTTATTTATTTATTTTAATTATGTAGTAAAGACTTTGAAATAGAGCAATGAAATTTTTCCTTTGTCTAAATTACATTATGAGATGCAACTATGAAACGACGCATTAGCAAAAGCTGTGAATGGCGGAAGCATAGCAGACACGGGCCTACATTTCTATGATCAAATACATGCATCACTCTTCATATAGTGAGCTCTCTTCTCATCCGACTCCTCTTTTACTCGGGATGTATGTTTCTAATTTACTGGCTCTAATGAGCTGAGTTGAGGTCAGTTGGTATAAAGCGTCCCGGGGCCGGCTCTGTCATCAGGGCCTGACATGTTTACGGTGGTCTGAAGTGGGCTGGCGGTCTCGTCCGCAGCTTTAAACACACGGGCGGAGGGTTGGGTGGGGTGTGTGTCCGTGGGTGGGGGTGCAGGAGCTTTATATGGGGGGTACAGGAGGGTCCGTGGCTTCTGACTATTATTTTTGTACTTTTATACTCCCCTGTGGTGGCGGTAACCTTGTTTTATTTATATATCTTTATGTTGGAGGGAGAGAGAAAAAAGAAAGATGAGGATCTGCCTTGAGTGAAGCCATAAAAAGATAAATATACTCAGAGCCATGAGAGAAAGAGAGAGAAGCACAAACTCCTCCCGGTCACTGGCTAAAGATTTTTACCATTTCTTGAGCATGACTTGATGTGAGTGCTTGCCAGGGCATTGCAATACAGTTACTAAGGTGTTCTGAGGGCTTTTTAAGGAGGTTTCTGGTCAAGCAGTATTATGTTTGCATAATAGTATTACAAATACCAGTATTAACACCAACAAAATCTGAAAAATTAAAAAAATTATAGCTTTAACATTGATATTTGATATAGCAATGCTAAGACCTTTAAGAGTTTGATTCCCTGTGAAATTGTAGGCCTTTACGTAAAAAATGTAGGCTATGCCATCAATACAAATTTCTTTGGATAAAAGCATCTGTCAAACGTGTGAATGCACACACTCTTAGAGGATATTGAGAAACTGACATCTACATCAAAATATAATCTGTGCAACTTTAACCATTAAAACACAACTTTCGTTATAGAAATGATTTAGGCTACACACATTCCACAACGCATGCATGTACCTGAATGAGAGAAAGTCATAAGTTTTCCAACAACTTAAAACTCAATGTGAGTCAAAATGACCCGAGCAAAGTTTGGGTTTTAAAACCCGGAAGCAGCGGTGTAGAAATGGCGGACATAATCGCGCCATTTTACCGTTTCAGCGCGTCAAAACAACAGAGCGGTTCACCGTCACACCACAAGCGATCAGCCGTTTATCCTTTGGAGCTATATCTATAATGTTTTTGTCTAGAGGCGAAAGAGGTAAAGTGCCACGGTTGTTTTAAGAACAATAAGAACTATTTTAAGAACTGTGTCAGTTGCTGTGTCCGAAATCTCCACTCAAAGCACTG